ACAGAAATCAACCAAGGTACAGAATGCTTTAAAAGAGGGTCACCAGAGAGATAATGTCTCCCATGCTTCTGCAGGAAGCCACATGGTCAAGCAAGACTGTGACTCATCCTGGTGGCTAACACTGACAGATGAGCTGAGAGACTGTATACATGGCTCTAAAAGTAATGCTTGAGGAGACTCAACTGACCTTGATATATAGGGAGATATATAGGGAGAGGTCAATTTTGATTAACACAGGTCTCAGTTTAACCTAGTCTTAAGCACTCAGCAAAAAAGTATAACAAAAAGATGAATAAAAACTAATACCATTGTAAGAAAGGCTAGATATAGAAAGGGGGCTCCTCTGATCACTGACCCCTGCTGGAAGTTTCCAGCAACACCTGTAACTGACCACTGATGTGGTTTAATGAAGTTATAAAAGCTACAGAAGTTATAAAAGCCCAGCAGAATCTTTAAATTACATAGGTAAAATTGTTCTTCAAAACATCTTTTTCCAGCTAAAAGTGGAGGTACTTATGCCAAGGAAATATCAGACTTATAGATTAACCTCCATCAGTAAACAGGTCTAGGAGCCAGATATTTGCAATCCCTATTCCAACCCCTTAAAAGCATGTCTGGATGTGGTTCCTTTCCCCAATCTGTCTTTCCATTCTAGTGCTCATCCTTTGGTCATGCATGCTCTAATCTCTTGGTAAAGTTTGACTATTCTCACTGGGAAACTCCAAGTGAGTTTGCAGATGGAACCAACAATAAATATACTAGATCCTTTTTACTAGGATCCACTAGATCAACCATCTGAAGGTAGTTCATAGTTGTTAAACCTCAACATGACTTCTATCCAAGGCCCCTTATAATAGCCTTGTGGAAAAGGTCCTTGACTGTGGTCTTCCTTACATGGACACTTTTCAGTTCAAATCAGCTAGATTAAAACTTCACCCATTCTCTCTTAATCACAGGTAGGGACAGCTCTTCAGAGGGGAGAATATTATAGGCAGCTAAATTAGACAGAAATTAATACACAGTAAGAGAGGGACTGGGCTCTCAAGAAAGTCAACGCAAAAATAAAGACATCAGATTTGTCAATGGAGGCACATCTGAAGAAGGACAGGCTTCAAAATGCAATGGCTAAAATATAAAAATGCAATGGCTAGGCCCACATACCTCCCTAAGAGACAGAGAATAACTTCAGATTATATTATAATTAGCACCACCTAATCCAGTAAATCCAGGTAGGCATCAGTTTCCCAGGTGGGCAACTTGAGCAACTGGACCCATCTCATCCCAAAATTCCCTTTGTTCTTTCCATGTGTACCCCTGCTGTATGACTCATTTCCCTATTGGATCAATATTACCTAAGCTTTGTAATCCTATAGGCTGATCACAGATTGGTCCACATTGTACCCCACTGTGACTTTGCTGTGTCAATTACTTCTGATAAAGGGCCTTGGTGGCCACTCCATTTAGGACACCCTCCTAGAAATGTAGCAGCTATTCTTCTGTTTTAATTTCCAATAAAACTCTCCGTACTTCTTCCTTTGGTTCAGAACTTCATTCCTTGATGTTATGGGACCATGAACTTAGCACGTTTGACATCTAACAGGTTGGGAGTTACATTTCTCCTATATCAACACTATATGAAAACCCTTAGCACAGTGGCTGACACTGACAAAGTGTTCAGTGAATAGTAGTGCACTAGCCATATCATTTTTACATGGTATTCCTTGGGAAGGAGTCAGTGTCAAACCCTGGAAAATGTACTGAACTAGATATTTTGATTGAATGTGCACCTTTTATAATTCAACTTGACATGTAATTCATTCTTTCATCTCGTTGAGCCTACATTTTCTCACCTGGGATTAGTAATAGCTGCTCTACTGTTGTAATATGCCATACTAGCTTTTAAAGCATGCATAATTCTGTGCCTAGAAATTTGTCAGTATTATATGGAAAAGTGCAAGGTTTTAATAGTGAAAATATGAAGATAACAAAATGTCTGTTAATCATATTTTATATTTTAAAATGCCATGTAGCCATAAGAGAATGATATAACTCTGTTTTTTGGGCTGGGGATTTAGCTCAGCGGCACAGCGCCTGCCAGGCAAGCACAAGGTCATGAGTTTGATTCCCAGTACCACAAAACAAAAAAACAAAAAAGTGTTTTTTATTAACATGGGAACAGATCCATGGTACATTTCTTAGAAATTATAAAAATTATAGAATTCTAGGCACAGTGTGATTTTCTAACAACTTTGAAACAAATGTTTCTATTAATGTCTTCTATAGTACCTCAAAACGTTGGCAGTGTTTATCTCTGGCTTTTGGCATTGCAAGGAGCTCTATTTTCTTCTTTACATTTTACTTGCCAAATTCTTTTTGATACCATCTAGTATCTTTCTATTCAAAAAACCAGGAAAGCTTTTCTTTCCACTTGGAGAGGAAACCTAATCACTAAACTACACAGAAATTTTGGGAAGCTTAAATGACATAGAGTATGCTACTGTTATATATTGCACTGCCACCTCAGTCCCGCCTTGAAGGAACTGCTCTATAAATCCAGAATCTAAATGCACAGTACCCATGTTTGCCCTTGGGTATTGGGGTCTACCTGAAAGGCAGAGGAGGGCTGGAGGCTGGCTGAAGAGCCAACTGGGGTGAGGAATCTGTGGAGCTGTAGGTAGTGCAGGGCTGCTTGGGCACTAGCTCACCAAGGCTGTTTATGAGGCTTTCTTCCTGTCGGGCTTTTGGGCTGCTAGCCAGGGACTCCTAATAGAGTCGCCTTCTCTTACCTCCCTCCCAAAGCTGGAATGTTCTGAATTCCAACTTGAGCCAAATCCACCCCGAAAGCCCCAGCTTCTCCTGGGTGCTCAGAGGTCAATACACAAAAGCCCAGCTGGAGTTTTTGACAGGAAAAACACAAAACCCACCAAACCTTGTTTTTTTTTCTAAGTACCTCAATCGTTTCCAGTCTCCAGGGGTTTAATTCTCATCTGTAATAAGGCTTGGATTTGCAGGTGGATTTTGCAAAGCTGTGGTTAACCATTAGAAATCCTTTATCACCTTGGACCTCCCCTTTCTCAGAACCCCTTCCTCCCTCTCCAAGGGTATCTCCTATCCAAGGCTCTGAAAAAGAACAGCTCTGTAAGTATCTCAATCCTAATTTAGTTGCTGCCTTTCAAATTCACCTAGGTGGGTGCTTTTGTCTTCCTAATTGCTGTTGAGTAGCCCATGGAATCAGGTTGAGCCACCTTGTGTTTCTGAATGGGTATGGGAGAGAAAAGTCCTATAGCTCTTGGGCTGTTGGTATTTGTTTCCTCAAAGGTGTCATAAAGGTTCTACTCTGAAAGTTCAGGGCCAGAAGAAACACTCTTCAAATTAGGTAATTTCTGGCTGGAACTTTTAGGACAAAAAGGCTGGAGTAAATATAGGAAGAAAAGACCTACTTTACTGATCTAGCTAACTACCGGGTCTGAGGAGGACTGGATGCTAAAGCCCTCTTCAGGGTTTTAAAGACTGGAGCTCAGGGAAGGTTCAGGGCAACAGCTGAAAAGGGGATTCCTAAGTGAAATCATGAAGTCTTCCCTTCCAGCCCTTAAACAACTCTCCAGGTCTGGTGGACTTGTCTGTGAGTCTGCCAGTAGAAATTTCTTGTGTGGACTGAGGCATTATTCTCTTACATGTCCTCCTTGAAAATGGAGATGGAGCCAAAGTGTTCACAGCACTTCTAGCTACAGAGATTGCAGGTGCTTTTTATTTTCTAAATTCTGTCTTTCTGTATTTTCCAGTATTCTAAACTGATCCAGTACCACAGGAAAAAAAATGAGCATGCTTTACTTAATGACAGGGTAAAAATAAACTTTCTTTTAAAAAGCAATTAAAAAAAATCTTGCCATCCAGTTGCAATTGGCCGAACTGTTATTGATCAGCTGGTGCAGAGGAAAGGTAAACTGGTCTGAGGACAAAGTTTCCAGTAAGTAGGGTCTCAAGGGAATGGCACAAGCACTTGCTGGAGCCATTTGATCTGGGGGGTGAGGCGCAGAGGGAGAATCAAGCGTCTTAGAGTCCTCCGAGCAGCTATGAGGGCAGTGGTGGGAAATGACTCTGACAGAAGAGGGCTGTGCTAGCTTCCATCGGCTTCAGAAGATCACAGCAGGTCCTACCTTGAGCCTGAAAATCCCAGTCTTTCCATCATGCTCAGTCTTTTGAGAGTTCTGTAAAAGGAGGAGCACCAGGTACAAGATTTTTGGAGTAAAAACAATGGGGAAAATATCAGGGCAAGTTCCCAGTAAGAAAGGGTTAAGTCAGGAGCTGCTGTCACTGTTGACCCTTCTAATCCTCTCCTGCAGTTCAACCCCTCCTCTAAGGAAGATTAGGTAAGGATCCTAGTGGAACTTTCTTGCCTAGCCCTTTGGCCATGGAGTATGTTGGCATCATGCCCAGGAGACAAATTCAGCTGGCAAGGCCTGAAGTTCTGTTCCTTCAGATCAGGCAATGCTTGGCTTCTAGGAGGACCCCTCAAAGGGACTTTTCTTTTAAAGCTAGCTGCTTCTATTAGCTGTTCTTCAGTCTTCTATATTTGATGGAATGGATTCCTGTCCTAATTACCTTATTTGAGAATTAAAACCTTAGAGATGAGCAAATGACGCCTTAGCGAAGTTAGAGGACTTCTGCAACAGGTTGCAGGCAGAGAACCAAAACAAGAAACTAGATATTTTGACATTCAGACCAGAACTCATTCTCTAAACCCTGTCTAACTTTGCCTCTACTGCTTGTCAAATAAAAGCACAATCTAGCTTGGCTCACCACACAATTACGTACTTGCTGTTTTATCTACCTTGCTTTCCTGACCCTGGCTGAAGTTAGGCTCCAGGGAGCAATTTTTTCCATTTGAATAAGTTCTAACAAACTGTTCTTCCTCCTACCCAGCTATGTCATATTAGACTCTAGAGTTAACAAGCCTCAGTAAAGACATTTTATTGATCCTGCCCTCTCTGTGCCCCAAGGCTGTCTCTCCTCTTGGGGAGACTGTTGATTCCCACTCAGAACTCAAGCTTGGCTGGTCTGCTGCCATCCCAGGAAGGCTGAATCAAAAGCTGCTGCTCTGGGAGGGAGGAGAGCATTCCCATAAAAACCTCAAGGTAATTCAGCAACTTTTGCTAGAAGCACAGACATAGAGAGAAGTTACAAAGGAAAAGTAACCCATGGGTCGGGGGGAGTGGAGGAGGGACTAAGGACAGCTCTCTCTGTCTCTCTTTTCTGTCAATGTCTGTCTCTGTCTCTCTCTCTCTCTTCTGGGAATTGAACACATTCCCAGATGAGTTACATCCTCAGATAATTTATTTTTATTTTTTATTTTTTAGACAGCATCTCATGAAGTAATTAAGTTTCCCAGGCTGAGCTCAGATTTGTCATTCTCCTGCCTCAGCTTCTCAGAGTGCTGGGATTATAGGTGTGCACCACCACTTCCAGCCCCGAGGACAGTTTCAAGGACAGGATGACTCCTGATGGATGACCAGCAACTAGCCAAACAAATAGTGGATGGTAGAACAGCATTCATAAGATCTTGGAGACAAAAAAAAGGGTAAATTCAGAGAAATCCAAATGCTCAGGTGTGCCTGGACTGTGTGTGTGTGTGACACCAAAAAAATGCATGAGATTCGATGTTAATAGTGCAAGAGGAAGCTGGGAAGCAAAGCAAGGGTCAGACAATGGCCAGCTCTTCTGGTTTCCTCAGATAGGAAGATTGAACTTCATCCTGAAAGGAATTAAAGGCTCCTGAGGCTTTTTAATTTTAAAGAGAGTTTTAAAAACAATAACAAAATAACAACAACATAGGCAAAAACAAAACAAAGCAAAAACAATAAAAATGATAAAGGGTTTCAAAACAAAATGATAGGAATTAACAGTGGCTGTTATATTACACATTGTTATCTTCAACCAAGTTGCTCAGATTACCAGATGTAAGAATGCAAGATTGAGCAAACCATTAAAGATGATAAAAACATAAAAAGAAATGAGAAATGATACAGAGCTTCACTAAACAAGATGGTAGAAATTCAACAATGGTTGTTATATCGTAATTTGATTTCCAAATTAGCAGGACCCTTGACTACTGGAAGGATAATTGACTAGAGGGATCGCGTGGAAGTAGAACTACAAAGAGCAATTTGAGATGCTTATGTAATGTCTAAGTGGACAGGAGGTGATGGCTGCATTGTCAGAACTAAAGTTTGGGAAGTGGAGATAGAGGGAAGTGGATGGGTTTGTGGTTTATTTAAAAGGCAGACCTGACAGGATTTCATAATGATTACATGATAAGAAAAGGGGAGGAATCAAGGGTGACTGGTTTGGGTTCTTGAAGGGCTAATGTCCACGGAAATAAGGAAATGAGATGGGAAACCCTGTATGAGCAACATTTTCAGGCTAAGGAGAGAAGAGGGCAGATGGTTTCAGCTTCACAGTGGTTGAGTTTGAGGTGCCATTAACACATTCATTTGGGACCATTCCAAATACAGTTGACTACACAAACCTTGAGTTCAGGAGAGAGATCTGTAGCAGAGGTTTGGATTTAGGACTCACTGTCACAGAGATAGAGTGAATGAGATCGCCCATGGAGATTAAAGAATAAGCAGAGCAGTCCAGAATAAACCCTTGAGAGAACAGTCAGATTTAAACAGTGGGCAGAAGAAGAGGAACTTACAAGACCTAAAAGAATCATTTTGAGGGCCGGGGAAAACTGGGAATGGTGCACAGAGAACAAAGGAGAAGTTGTAAGGAGAAGGATAATCAATTATCCTTCCAGGAGCCAAGAAGTTCTAAGATGAATTGGTAAGAAGTTGTAAGATGACAAGGATAGGATCATCGAGTATTGGAATAGGAAATATTTGATAATCTTGGTGAGAACATTCCTGGTGGAGGGCTATTAGCAAAGACCAGAGTGCAGAGGGCTGAGAAGTAAGTGGAATGGTAAAGAACTAGAGACAGTGATAGTAAATGGCTTTTAAGCGTCTTGGATGCAAAAGATGAAGGGCTTATCAAGATACACAGTCATGATCCTGATAAATGCCCAGTTAAGTAATAAGAAAATCAATGCTGGGAAAGGACTTAATATCACACCTGCAAGTGACAGAGATCATCAAGTGTTTATTGGTTACTGCTTTGCGTTGCTTTGCATGAACATTGGCATCATCATATCTAACACTGAAGAATAGTATGGGTTATCAATCATGTGTCCATTATTCCAGAGGACAACCGAAGTTTCATATATTTTTCACCCTCAAATTGTTTAGGATTTAATTGAAAAGACCAGCCATTCAACAAGTTACTATACATGCATAGATACTGATACACACACAAAACTGCTTTCTGGCTGTCTGTTTCTCCTTCTCCCTCTTCTCTATTTAATTCCTTCTTTCTCAGATTCTCTTCATCTCGAACTTCTTAGAACCTTGGTGATCCTTACATAGAAATGTCACTGATTCATTTAGAAAACCTCTTTTATAGTGATGTGGAGCCCCTAAAACCTGTTTAACATACTTAGTCATTCATTAAGAAGATATTTTTGTAATTGGGAGGCTGAGGCATGAAGATCCCAAATTGGAGGCCCACCTCGGCAACTTAGTGATATCATAAGACCCTGCCTGAAAATTAAAAAGGGGCTGGAAAAAGAAGATACTTTTGAACACTTGCTCTGAGTAAAGCACTGTGTACAAAATATAAAATAGAGATAAATAAGATATAGGCCCTACCCTCAAGTAGGTCACAGACTAGCAGAAAATGAGAGGGTACACAGGAAATTGTAATACAGTGCAAAAAGTGATATATCAACCTCAGTTTCCTCATCTACTATATGGTAGTGATCATTAGCACCTACCACAAACTTGAGATAATAAATGAGTTAACACATGTAAAGTGCTTATACTGATCAAGAATGAAACACTATACAGGTGTTGCTACTGTGATGATGATGATAACCATGATGATGATAGAAATAAATAAATGCCAGATACAGTAAGAACATAGAACAAAGGCACTTGGCCCAGGCTAGAATAAGAGACATTTGAGCTGAGTCTTAAAGGATGAGAAAGAGCTAAACAGAAGAATACAGGACATTCCATGTGGAACAGCCTATACTCAGATTTGCTAGCAAAAAAAAAAAAAAAAAAAAAAAAAAAATTACATGACTGAGGAGGTAGGGGGACTATAGTGGTTTGGCAAAAGTAGAGAGTACAAGGAGGGGAAGGATAAGAGGTGAAGTTTGGGAGATAATGGGGTACAAACAAGTTGGACCTTCTTTAACAAATGGGGAGCTATTGGAATATCTTGCTTAGAGTAGTAATTTGATCAGATGTGTTAAAAGATCTCCTTGGCCAAAGTGTGGAGAATGAATCAGAAGAGGCAAGATTGGAAGTAAGACCAGTTCAGAAGCTGTTGCTTTCAGTCAGAGAGAATAATGAAGTCCTATACATGGAAGTAGCAATGGAGATGAAAAAAGTGAAGCCACGGGTTTGAGGTATATTAAAGAGATATAACTCGTGTAACATAGTAACAAACAGTAGGGCACAAAAGATAAGCACAAGAAAGGTGCCAAGAATCACTCCTGGAAAAAAAACTTTGGTCTGGTGTAAGGGGATAGGTAGAGACACCACTCAGCGACCACGGGGAATCCAGGAAGGAATTGCTTTGGGGGAAATGCAATGGGGCACATGATATGTTCTCTTGTAGATATGTCAAATGCAAGGTGCCTGTGAGATTTTCATCTGGAGGGTTTTTTTTGTTTGTTTGTTTGTTTTTTTTGGTTTTTGAGACAAGGTCTCAGTATGTAGTTCAGGCTGATGTGGAACTCACTATGTAGCCCAGGCCGTCCTCAAACTTTCAACAACCCTGCCTGTGACTCCTGAATGCAGGCACGCAGCACCACACCTGGCTTCCACGTGCAAATTTGGACTAGAGGATTTTTTTGCCAGTCTTGAAGGTCAGAAGAAGGGTCTGTAAGAAAGATTCATATTTGGGTGTGTCAGTAGATTCATAGCAGATGTACAGGGGTGTGATGTGTTTGCTCAGTGACACAATGTTGATTGAGGGAAGAACGGATTTCTGAGGAACAACCCAATTTCAGATACAAGTAGGGAAAAAAAACATTTTGCAGAAGCCTACAAATGAACAGCCAGATTCAGATTATAGTGGGCTGAAAAGTTAGTCAGCTGGAAGGTCTTGTAGAAGATAGGCGGGAGGATGTGTACATGACCCTTACCATCCTGAACCTTAAAAAGTGTGAGGACTCACTGGACACTGAAATCGTGTACAGCTCTGGGATTCCAGGGCATTGCTCAGATGTGTGCTTCTAACAAAGCCTTCTCTTCCGGAGCTGCTTCCTTTTCCCCTGTCTACTCTGCTGCTCCTAACAGAGAGCTCAGGGAACTTCGGGGATCCCCCTAGGACTTGGAAGAATCTTTCATCTGAGAGGCTGACGCTGGGAGCAAGGATTAAGAGAACACATAGAAAATATCTGGAGTGCATACATGCGGGGGTTCTGTGGAGAAGGGTTTGGGTAGGCTGGGAGTGCCTGAGCTCTCAGACAGTGGACAGAAAGGCTCTTCGCCTGCGCCAATCTTCCTTAGAGTGGATTTCTGACGTGGGCAAGATGATCCAGAGCTAAGCCACTACTCTCTGAGGCCCTTCGAGATTACAGTGGCCCCTAACAAGCTAGAGTCCAAGGCTACAGTCTAGGACCTGTTCCTGCTGATCCAGTCCCTTGGAATTTGGCCTCAGTGTGCAATTGAGGGGCCCTATGGCACTGTTGCTTAGCCATGCATTAAATAGCACACCTTGGAGACTAGCGGTGGAGTGGACACAAGTACAATTGCCACTGCCATCACTGCCTTCTCAGAAAGCAGCCACCTGTCTGGCCTCTACCTTTGTCTGACTGCCAACCTGAGGCATGTGCCTACGCAGAAGGTGATGACATTCTGGCCCACTTTCAAAGTTTTTTTTTTTTTTTCCTTTCTCATGTGTTATTTTTAAAGATAACAAAGGTCAAAAGGCATCCAGCATTTTCTGGTTTCTCATAAGCTTCTGGTCAATATTTAATCTGGTTTATGGATTTTTTTTAGGTTTTCTGGATGCCTTCTTGAGCCTGCGGGTGGCCACCCACAGAGACTTGTAAGGAGGAGAGGAATCAGCCTGGCAGACACTCTGAAATGAGGGATTAGAGACCAGGATCCAAGGAGCAAGAGCCACAGCCAGAAGAGGAAACAGGCCCTGAAGACACATCTGCTGAGGGGTCTGCCATGGTCTCTCTTGGCATTCAACTTGTGGGCTACATCCTCGGCCTTCTGGGACTGTTGGGCACAGTGATTGCCATGCTGCTTCCCAGCTGGCGAACAAGCTCTTACGTTGGTGCCAGCATTGTGACAGCGGTCGGCTTCTCCAAGGGCCTCTGGATGGAATGTGCTGTACACAGCACAGGCATCACCCAGTGTGACATCTACAGCACCCTCCTAGGCCTGCCTGCTGACATCCAGGCCGCCCAGGCCCTAATGGTGACCTCCAGTGCGATCTCCTCACTGGCCTGCATTGTTTCTGTGGTGGGCATGCGATGCACAGTCTTCTGCCAGGATTCCCGAGCCAAAGATAGAGTGGCAGTAGTGGGTGGAGTCTTCTTCATTCTTGGAGGCCTCCTGGGTTTCATCCCTGTTGCCTGGAATCTTCATGGGATCTTGCGAGACTTTTACTCACCACTGGTGCCTGACAGCATGAAATACGAGATTGGAGAAGCTATTTACTTGGGCATTATTTCTTCTCTGTTCTCCCTGATAGCTGGAATTATCCTCTGCTTTTCCTGCTCATTCCAAGGAAATCGTGCCAACTACTATGATGGCTACCAGGCCCAGCCTCTTGCCACCAGGAGCTCTCCAAGGCCTGGTCAACCATCCAAAGCCAAAAGTGAGTTCAACTCCTACAGCCTGACAGGGTATGTGTGAAGAACCAGGGCCCAGAGCTGGGGGTGGGAATGGCTGGGTCTATGAGAACGAGTGGACAGCACCCCCAGGGCCACGGGGTGAGGGACATTGCCACTGGATTATGTCAGAATGTCCTGACAAGGATAGACTGGCTTTGGCCATTGGATCAAGTGAAGACAGAAGCAGGAGCTGGTATGACAGCATGCGAGTTGAATTGTCAAGGACACTTGCCAAACCAGCTTTTCTATTTCTCTCACCTTGCCTCCATACCTCCAAGCCCTGAGTTCTCAACCTTAAATTCCAACCCACCCCTGCTACCTTAGGCCAAGCCCCAGAGGCTCCCTCTGTCCTTTGGTTTGCCTGGGAACCCATTCCAAAACCCACTAATCACACCCTCCTGACCGACTCTGAGACTAAGCTGTCCCTCTGGCTGAGATTGGCCCATAGCTCATTGCTGGGGGATAGGGAGAAGGAGTCGTGGTTTATATGGGCATGTTTCTACCCTCCTTCTCAAACCTCCCTCCAAAAGGACTGATTGTTCAGTAACAGGCCCCAGAGCCTCTATCCCATGCTTGCTTTGACTCCACATTTTCTAGGCTGGTTGGTGCATGAGCTGACAGAAAGCTATTTCACAGTACCCGGGGAACAGAACCTGGGTGCAGCATGGGAAGAAAGGAAGGCAGCCTGGGACCACAAAAGCCCAAAACCATTTCCCGAGGCACTTCCCGGGATTTCCTCACACTTGTGGGTCAGGAATCAAACCCATGGCTACAGGAAAGCACAAAGACAGAAGATGTGGAAAGTTCAAGGCAGCAGCGGACTCTGACTTCACTGAGAAACTGCCTCAGAAGCTGCAGTTTCAACTCTCACTGAAGCCTCTGCCTCCCTCCAGGTGCCTGACCTGGCCTCCTGTCGAAAGCAGAGGTTAAAGGCCCTAGACAATGGTTTCCTTAGGAACAATAAACCAGTGTTTCTAGAACCAGTCCTTGGCTTGGTATGACAACACAGGCGCTGTAGGGGGCTGAGGAAGACATTACCGCTTGACTTGGGCCATGAAAGAGTAAGAACTTTGTATCTAAGAAGCCGGGAGATAGTGTGATGGCTTTGGGGTCGGGGGGTGGGGAGGGTGCTCTACTGTGCCAACGAGAGGCAGCCCACCAGAGAATTCCCAGGCTGCATGGAAAATCAGCTTAAAAAGCAACACCTTGTGGGTCCCTTGACACCTTTCATATTTCCCTTGCCATCCATTAGCAGACACTCCACAGGTTACCCAAGAGCTGCTGCGTGGAACATCCGTGCCCACGGCGCTGTGTCCGTGGTCTGCGCCATGGTAACTGAGCTGCTGCCTGGGATCGCAGCTGAGGAAAGAAAATGGTTCCCAGGCAGAGTCTCATCTCCAAGATCTGAAAATGCTCCATTCTCCTGGAGTAGGAGTTCAGGTCAGAAACATTTGTCCTCATCAGACTAATAGGGCTGGCTTCTGAAGAACTCCAGTACATCTCCCCAAACCTCCATGCCAGCAGCAGGGGGGCCGTCATGGTCCCTAACATGCCTTCCATGTCTCCACCATCACCCCTGCGTGCGAGCTATTCTCCCAGCTAGAAACCCTCTCCCCTTAGCCACGTCCTCCCCGTGCTTGGAGAACTTGCTCCGCGCCACCCCTTCATTGAGCCTTCTCCGACCACTCTGTCCCTCTCTTACCCCTTTTCCCTTTGAGCATCAATGTAAAAATTGCTTCTTTGTGCTTATAGTTCACAATTTTTGTTGATAATTCTATGTGTGTGTGCATGTGTCTGGCCTCAAAAGCACACTGTAAACACTGGAGGGCAGGGGCCATGTTACACCTCTCTGTATACCCCAGACTATCTGTAACAGTGCTGAGCACACAATAGGTGATCAATAAACACTTGTTGATTGAGTGACTGTTTTATTGATTAAGAGAGGCCTAGACAGGGCACGTATGACCAGAAGGAATTAGGCTAAGGGGAGGGAGGATGAAAGCTGGACTTTTGCCTCACAGGGTGAAAAGAAAATCCCAGATTTCATGGAAACGTAACAACACCCCTCACCAAGGAGACTAACCTCTTCATTGTACCCAGGGCTCTTCCCTTTTCAGAATAATTGTTCCACTGAAGTTGTTTACTAAATGGCTATGCTCTTATTCCTTTCATTTGCTGAACCACCATTGTGAGGAAGGTGAGACAGATCTGATCATCTCCGTTTGGCAGATGGGAAAACTAAAGTCCACACAAGTAAAGCGCTTTTTCCCAGAACCATACAGCTAGTGTTAGTTGTAGTCTCTTGATTCCTAAAATAGAACCCTGTTGGTCAGTAATAGTCATAGCCAATAGGAAGGGCCTGCCAGATATTTCCAAGCAGCCCAAAAAAGACAATCTGTAGCGAGCAAGGTAACAAAAGAGGCATGCAGGCTCTGGTGGTCTCCCATGGCAGTGATCCGGGAAATCAGGAATTCACTGAGTGTACCACTGGAACTGTCCCCTTTCACCATACTAGCCAACCGGCCAGCCTGCGCCCAGCTAGATGTCTCTTCAGGGAGATGCCAGGTTTACATACAAATAAGACACAGTACCTTAGTTCCAATTGCCCTGCTTCTGGAAGTATGGGAGCGTGAAAGACCAATGATTTGACTTCCTTGGGAATTAACAAAGCCTATTTCACAAGGTTGTTAACTAGAACAGTGCTGAGTGTAACAGGGCCCTGCAGGTGTCAGCTCGGCTAGCCCCTGAACTTAGGAGGCCTCTGCATGGAAGACCCTGTTTTAACAGACACTACTCTTGCCCTTCTGATGCCAACCTTCTTTGTTGCTGAGACTAGAATCCCAGCACCCAAGCCCATCGAGAGGGAATGGCAGCAGGAAGGAGCACAGTGTGTATGTGTTGGGAGGCTCTGTGGAGAGATGCTTAACAAAAAGTCGTATCTCTGGTGTGGCACTTGGAACCCCAGAACAATGAGTGAGGCCCCTGGAGGTTGAAAGGCAGGGCTGCTTCACTGACTGCTGCACTGAGTGGGCAGGAGTCTGGTATGGGCTCTGATGATCCCCCACCTGGCAGCCAAAGCACTTTCAGATCTACCAGCTTCATCTTCCAAGTACCTCAATGAAGTAGGTCCTTTACAGGAGACAAAATGGAGGACCGAGAGGTGACTAACATCCCTCAAGTTACAGTGTCAGAGTCTAGAAATAAACTCAGAAACTCTTCACATGGCAATGTGGGTCTAGAATTCTGATCTCAAAATATGAGGACCTGTGGCTCTTCAAACTCTAGAAGACTCCCTGTCCCTGTCTGCCACTGGAGTAGAAGGGCTTGTGCGGGAAACAAAGCACAGAGTTTCCCATTTCTTGGGCTGAGGCTAGCCTGGGGGTTCCTCCAACATTTGTTAATGTAGGGAATTTCAGTGGAACGAATGAGGAGTTCATACTCAACTAGAAAAAGCAGGACAGACTTGACAAAGAAAGAACTATTGATCCCTCTGGCTGGTTGAGCAAGAAAAGCATTGCTCTAAGTTTACTCAAAACCTTCCTGAGTCTGGGTCCAAGTTGAATAGCCTACAGCTCTCCCTTTACCATCCATCATAAAATAATTTAGATTAACCATAGACCTGGGGGATACTGAAAGGCCGTTGTGTTAAGGCCCTCACCTCCTGGCTCTGACCCTTGCACAAGGAGACGTTTCTGCCCCCTTTCATTCCTCTGATAGTAGTGTGACTCATGTTTTCTCCCTTGTGAGGCCCCAGTGACCCATTGCTACATGATCATTACTGGAATTGGGGAGACCCAGACTGACTTCTTATCATAAAGGCCAGCTCCAACCTTCGGAGATATCTTCATCCAGCCACATATTACCAGCATCTAGCCAGCCAGACAACCCACTCACACTAACTGAGCACTTCCTCTATGTCAGGCAATGTGCTGAGGACTGTGAGGATGACAAGGGTGAGCAGTGTAAAGTCCGTGCCTTGGAGGAACTGACAGATGATTGAGGGGAGAAAAGCCTTGCACACTTAACAGTATTACAAGGCACAATATGGACTGTCTCACGAGAGAGAGGGAAAACGTGACCTAAAATAGCGGTATCAATAGCTGAGAAAAATATTTGTGTGTCTTAATTGCCAATCCATAGGAAATGAGGACCTGTTACCACTTGAGCTTTGTGGGGAAAGGATGTCAAAAGGATGCAGCTTTCAGCAGCTGCAATACTATGGAAAATTAGGAGACAAGGTGAAAAACAGTGCTATGGAGGAAATGGAGATCTACTACACAGCTAAGCCACCCCTCGAGTTTCTCTCAGAGCCCCTAGGGAGCTTTAAGAGAGAGCGACCCTTAGGCTCAGTCTCTTCTCCCTTCTTTCCCCCCCTTGGGCAGTTGTTTAGGAATTGCTGCGGCAGCAGAGCCTTTTGGCTCTGAATTAGAGGAGAAACACAGGTGTGAGAGAGGGAAGAGAAGAGAGAGGGGCTCTAAAACCAGGAAAGTCTCATTTGCCTTTCTGAAACTACAGGAAGGCAAATCAGGCCTTGCAATGTCAACTGCTTTCTCCCACTCAGCCCAGGCCCATGGGCAGGGGGTTCTTTCATGCCTGTAGCTGCCCACTCTAGGACACAGAGGCCCCAGGTTGGGAAGTGCCTGTGCTCTTCCTCAGCTGATTGAAGCCTGGCCTTCACCCAGCCTGCTCTGCCTGCCCAAGCGGCTCCTGGCTTTGATGAGAAATTCTGTTATCTCAGGAGTGAAAGGAACCTCAAACAGGAAGTCTAGCAGGTTATCTCCCTCTCTCTTTTGCTGTAAGTGTAGCTCTCACTATATGCTGTGATGTGATCACTGATAAAAGATTAACCTGCTGTTATCAGGCACAGTGATACAGAGGCTATAAACTAACCACCCCCTCCTACCACAACCCATCACTTTTCTGGGCATTTCCTAGTTAACTCTAACCTCCAATTCCCTGTCCTAGGCCTCATTGCTCCAGAAGACAAGGAGTGTCTTAAGGGCTTGACAAAGCAGGCAGCGACCATACAAGGACATCATTGTGTCCCTTTTAGGACAGAACGCTTGCTTTCCTGTCATCCCTGGAGTCCTACTCCTCCAGAATGGCACCCTCACCACTTCACAAATAACCTCCTATAACGGCTTTGAAGAAGTTCTAGTTTCAAACAATCATGACACTGGAGAGTAACACTGGCAATATTCACATACTTTTAAAAAGATAGTAGGGAGTATGATAAGATATGATGTGATATTAGATGACAAATGAACTGGGCATGGTGGAGAATGCACGCCTATGATTGCAACACTTGGGAGGCTGAGGCAGGAGGATTGTTGCAAGTTCAAGACCAGCCTGGTCTACAAAGTGAACTCAAGGCCAGCCTGAACTGCATAACAAGACCCTGTCTCAAAAAAAGACAACAACAACAAAAAAGATGACAAGTAAGTACCAGTCACATAGCAGGCAACCCAGCATATGAGTGGTACCTCCTGTTTTCCAACAGCACTTTTGGCATCTCTGGTATCTGAGAAGGTTTTTGTGGGTTGCTACAGAGAAAGACCAGTTACCCCAAAAGTACAGAGAAAAGTGATTCCTTACAGCTTCTTTGCCAGAGTTTGTTTCTGGAGTTATCCAATGGGATGCAGGGAGATGCATTAGCATCTCCCACAAGGGATATCTGAAGATAATGTGAAAGCCCTACTCTTTCGGCCTAAAAGCACTAAAGGCCTCAATGTTAAACTCAAGTATAGAAGATGGTAGAGTAGCAACGTGAAGCAGATAGTATCGACTTGTCTGGGCTGACTTCGGTTCCCATCTCCACAGCAGCAGTGACTGCTGAGCAGAGATTGCCTAGGGTAGTTGTTCAAGAAGCCAAATATCAGAATCTTCAGTGGCAGCACTCACTATGATATAGCCTAGAAGACTGTTGACTGTTTAAGTCAACAGGCAAGTTGGTGACTAAGAAATGTAGCACCCAGAAAATCTGTGTGGAAACTGGTGAAAGTGTACTACAGAGAAGATATCTACATTGTTCAGAGTGATTGTGGTGAAATCAATAACAATTTAATGAGCAAATTTTCATGATTAATGCCTGCAAGATTGCTTCAGCTGACCGGGTTACTGCAGTCATCCTATGGTTTCCCTATGCCCAGAGGCATAAGAAGGATAAGAGCTAGGCTCTAATCTCAGGCAAATTTGTTGCAAAAATTCTATCTGTAGCAGGTACAGACCATACTATCACTATGGATGTACATGCTCCTCAAATTCAGGGATTTTTTTGCTGTCTAAATGGACAATTTGTATTGAGCCAGGTGTCCTGAAGTGGATTAGGGTGAGTGTCTCTGAGTGGTGGAATTGTACGGTTATCTGATGCTGGTAAAGCCAAGACAGTTACCTCCATTGCAGACCAGTTGACTGTGGACTTGAGCTTGATTCACAAAAGACAGAAGGTGGCCAATGAAATGGACCACATAGTGCTAGTGAGATATCTGGAGGAGAGGGTGACTATTCTTGCGGATGACATGGCTGACACTTGTCCCACAATCTGCCATGCAGCTGACAAACTTCTCTCAGCAGGAGCTAAAAGAATGTATGCCATCTTGACTCATAAACCCTTTTTCTGGCTCAGCCATTTGTCACATTAACAGCACATGCTTTGAAGCAATACAGTCACCAATACCATACCTGAGGAGGACAAGATGGAGTAATAGTCGAAAACAGAAGTGATCAACATCTCCATGATCCTTGCAGAAGCCATCAGGAAAACTCACAGTGGGGAATCTGTTTCCTACCTGTTCAGTCATGTCCCTTTATAGTAGAATAATTTCTGAAGCTTTTTAAACATAAAATCAACCCACCTCTTGTTTTCCCTTGGTATTTCATGACAAATCTGGAAGACCCAGCTTGCTCCAGTGTAGCTTCCC